TTTACATCTCTAAATATATATATATATATATATATACATACATAATCAATGTTAATTAGGTACAAAGTCAACTCTTTAATTAATTTTAACCTGTTCTTAATGAACTAGTGTTAGAATTCAAAGCATTATTACAGATGTGTCTGTCAGAAAAATTTCAACTTGTAGTGCCTTCAGCTTAGTAATAAGAACATAACCTATGTTATATTTGGTACGTTCAAAATGATTATTGCATTATTTTAATCTAATTGATCGTAAAAAATAATTATTTAAAAATATGATATTAGCCAATGATAAATATTTGAATGTATGTGTGTGTGTGTGTGTGTGTACATATATATATATATATGTATATATACAACCCAACTATTGACTAGCAATTAGAAGTAGAAAAAGGTAGTCCCCTCATAAAATGAATTGGAAATTACAAATAAAGTTAAATTTGGTTAAACTATATGTAAACTTTGAAAATTCAAAGCAACATTTATTGACTTCTTTGAATCAAAATGTACGAGGCATGGGATGGACGGTGAGTTGGAGTATTAATTTAAAACGAACTATAATCATTTTGTTTGCTATAATATGTCCTATACTTATATATATATATGTATATGTGTGTGTGTGTAATATGTATATATCATCTTAAGGTGGAATATTGTGATGGTAGGTACAACGTCAAGAAAATCAATGACAAAAATAAACTTGTGATGGTGGGTACAGGTCACATATATTATATATTATATCGTATTGTATTTTTATTAAAAACAATAAAGTTTTCATGTTTATAATTTAATTTTATTAGTCACGTAATAATATATTATGATGATTTATTAATAGAAATAATAATATTTGATCGTGTTGTACAACTTGATTAACAATATTATTTTAATTAACTATATATTTTTGTAGTCAATTAGGAGTCTCCTTGAGAAGGATTAAAATAAATAATAAGATTTTAAATTTGAATATAGAATTATACAGTGTTGACCAGACCTTCGATTGTTGACAACACTTGATACATGACCATATATATAATCGTCGGACCATATATATATATGTGTGTTTTTTTTTTGGGTAAAATGTAATATTGTAACTCCATTAATTAATAAATTTGACAAAAAATTGAATGAATTAATAGAATTGATAATGAGGGAAACTTTTTTGTTAAATAATTAATATCTATTATATATATAATTAATTTCACATATGTATATATATATATGTATATGGTTTTCTTCATTATATATAAATATGTAGGGAAAAGGGGAAGGTACAGAATTAGAAATGTCTGAAAAAAAAAACATTACCTTTCCAGAAAAGATAATTCACTTTTAAGACCAAACTTTAATTTCATAGGTTTCATAAAAATAATTATATGAGAATGTATGAATTCTTTTTTCAATAATAATTTTAATTGCCGTCTTTTTTTTTACATTGAAAAAAGTATGATTCTTTGTATCCTCTACATCACTCCACAATTCACATATATATATATATTTGTATGTATATATATATATATATATGTGTGTGTATATATAGGTTTTGGTGATGAGGAGATGTATATTCTTGAACCCAAGAAAAAGGTCGGGGAACCTTCCATATCGCGATAAGTGGGTCCCGGGCATCATCCCTTAACGTGTTTGATCGGCTTCCCTTTCCCAATCGACGGTTGTCACCCAATCCGACGGTCATCAGACCACTTCCCCACGTTTTCTTTAATTTATTTCTTAATTTCGAATAAAAATTCATATTGAAAATAGTGATTTCCATATTTACCCCTTTCTAATTAATATTTTTGTTGACTGGGGCACACCACAAACGTTGGTCTTATATGTACTTTAAAGACTTTTTAAACACACCTGTTACTTTTTTAAATATTTATAATATTTTTATTGACGTCATAAAAATAAGATAAAATATTTTTTAATTAGTAAAAACAAAGTAAACGTAAAAAGCACGTCAAAAACATTAGCTTATAATTACGAAGCCACTACCTAATTAACCTTCCATACCAACTCTCTTCCTATTTGTTTTCACACGAGTGATGCCAGCATGTCGTATGGATATTGTTTTTAATTTATTTAATAATTATAATATTATGAAATATTCTAATTATACAGAAATTAAATTTGTTGAGAAATATTAATTTTTATTTTTATTTTTTAAAATCAGAAGCTAAATTTGACTTTTCACCACGAGCAAAAGTCAAAAAATTGATAGCCATCAATAAAAAAAAAAAAAAAAAAAAAAAGGTTAAAGGTATCGTTGTTGTCTTCTTAAAACCTACTGTTATTTACAGTTGCCATCTCCTTATTTGGTTTACACTACTTATACGACGCCGTTTCTGCTTTCTAAGCCAGAACCAAAACAAACAAAAAAAAAAAAAAAAAAAAACTGGTAAGTGGTAATTACGGATATTCTCAAATGATTATAAAACAGAAAATTATTACTTAAAAGTAGAAAATTCTAAAATATGTAGAATTGTTAAGGGAAAAAAGATAAGTAGAACACAAATTAAACAGAAAGATACTGAAGTTTGAATTGGGAAAAAAGTATCTTATATAAATATATACAAACTCACTAAGAGCAGAACAAAACTATACTTACTGGCCATTTTTTCTCTCCCTCACTCTCTCTCTCCTTCTTTTCTTCTAAACATATTATATATACCCTCATAGCCACATACCATAAATCTCTTCAAAACAATTCAGGAGAAGAGAAAAACCAATATTACTATCTCATAATCTTCTTCTTCCACCTCTTGAGCAGAGTACGGACCCGCTGTAGTAACAGTTCTCGGCACCAGCCATGTCTGCCAAGGACTGTGGGAACCATGGGCACAGCAAGAAAAAGATGATAAGGAAGATCATCTGGGCGATCATAGTTTTCCTATTCATCGTCCTGGCGACGATTCTCTTGATCTGGGCCATCCTTCAGCCCACCAAACCTCGGTTCGTGTTGCAAGACGCCACCGTTTTTGCCTTCAACATAACGGCGCCAAACTTTCTCACATCCAACTTCCAGGTTACCATCTCCTCTCGCAACCCAAACGATAAAATCGGTATTTACTACGACCGACTGGATATTTACGCGACCTACCGCAACCAGCAGATCACTCTGCGCACCGCTCTGCCGCCGGGCTACCAGGGCCACAAAGAGATCGACGTCTGGTCACCCTTCGTTTATGGAAACTCCGTCCCCATCGCTCCTTACAATTCCATGAGCCTCAGCCAGGATCAGAACGCAGGCCTCATCTACGTCATGATTAAGATCGATGGCCGCGTTCGGTGGAAGGTCGGCGCTTTCATCTCCGGCCGGTACCATCTGTACGTCAAGTGCCCTGCGTATATCAACTTCGGTAACAAGCCTCCCACCTCCGGCGTCTCCATCGGCGTCAACGCCGTCAAGTACCAGCTTTTACAGCCCTGCACAGTCAGTGTTTGACGGAATACTAAAGCTGAGAAACTCTGTTAGACTACACTATCCTGGTGACGCCGTCAAGTATCTGTTTAGTCATGCAGCACGGATATTCAGTATTTCTCTTTTATCTTCAAATCTCTCTTCTCTCTATCTTTTTCACGCCGTTAATTTTTCTTTTTTTTCTTTAATTCCACAAATATTATTTTTTTTTTAAATTTTCAGACAAAGGGCCTAGAAAGTATGTGGATGAAGAATTGTACATTTTGCTATAGAGAAAATAAATGGGTGAAAAAGAAAAAAAAAAAAAAACAAGATGGCAAAATTGCAATATCTGATTAATTAATTATTAATGTTTGTAGTTGGATTATTACAAAAAAAAAAAATTGTGCAATAATAATAATAATAATAATTATTATTTTTAATGTATCTAGTGGAGGTTGAGGTGTCATTTTTCTTTTAATTTTTTAAAAATATTTTATTTTATTATTATTATTTTAATCGACATTGGATCTTTAAAATTAGAAGTGTGATGAAGCTTTGAATTATGGAGCCGGCAGTGTTAATTAATTAATTAATTAATTAATTTGCTTCCTTGTTTTACAATTTCTCTACATATTTGCATGATTAGAAGCTCCAATTAATTAATTAATTAAAAGGTGTTATGTTAATTCTTAAATAAATAAATAAATGAAGTAAACTGTCGGTGTGATTGTGATATATCTTTTGTTTTGGAGTTTTCTGATATACATGTGTATGTGTATGTGTATATGTATATTCAATTTGATTATCATCATTTAATTTTGTCTACAAAATGATATTATTTTTATTTTTATTTTTTTTTAAATGATCCAAATCAATCTCAACCTTATCCTACAAAATACAAATTTTCTTACCTTATCTGAACATATAAAATCAAATGTATTATTTTTTTCTTTTTTGAGAAATTGATGTGCATTAGTTTTGACATGTCAAACGCTGTCTACCTATCAATTACGTACATCAATTCCATAATTCTATAATTACATGACAAATGCAAAATTATATGTTAATTACTTAATTATAAGATTATAAATAAATATTTAGTACGTTAATTTTACTTACTGGGAATTTAATTTGGTTGGGAGTAGTAATTAATCGGGACCTAATGAATAAATTATATTGTATGGTGTGTATTGGGTTGATCACATCACATGGGGGCATAGTGGTGGTCCTTTTGAATCGCTCTTTCTACCTACTAAATAATTGCGTGTTAGAAAATGACTTTAATTAATTTGTAAGACATTTTAGTATAATTTTAATTTAATAATAATTATTATTGTTATTGGGTTTAATTTTAGTTTAATCGTTATAACTTAATCAAACACTAATCACCATAATTTTATTTAAATTTATAGTAATTAATAGTAATAATTATCATTATTATTGTATACGTGAAGGACTATAAATGAGATATATATATATATATATGTATCTGTGTGTGTATTTTAATTATAGCATTGTGATGACTTCAATTAAATTAACCAAATAAACATTGTAAAATACTGTAATTTTATTTCGACCATACTTATATCCATGTAGATATAAATTAAATTAGTTATCTTTAAATTAATCATATAAAGTCACTGAATATATATATATATATATATATATTATTATAGAGAGGCTATGCGATGAAGGAGCACCATGTGCCCATCAATCTCTCACATTTTACGCGGGCTTGACCTTGATGCGGGTGAGATTGAGATGAGTGGTGTATGTCTGGGTAAGATAACAAACTATATATTAAAAATATTATATCCTATTTATGTAAATAAGAAGACAAAAACAAGTAAAGTTCATTGGATCATGTCATGACCAGAACTTGGATGTCACCTTATATATATGTATATACGAATGAAATATTTTTTAATTAATTTCATTGCGTACAAATTAATATTATTTAACAAAATACATATAATTAAAATGAAAATTAGACTCTTTTAACGTTTTAAAAATTGATTAATAGTATAAACAAGAGTAAATTACAAAAAGTTATTTCAGGTCCAATTATGAACAAGTGCATTTTTAAAAAAAATTAGAATTCAGTCCAATAAATCAATTAAAAACATTTAAAATCACTACTACTTTTATAATATTTAGGCTCAGGGTCTCTGGGGAGAAGTTGCTGTAAAAGAGGCCCAAATAAAAATACAGGCTCAGAGATCTGGGCCGGTAAAAACCAAATTAACTACGAGCTCAGAAATCCAATTAGAGGTTACGTGAAATTTAAAACATTGAATTGAAAACGTAATAAAAAAATATCAACGGAAAAATAGTATTTTAGAAATAAAACTTTGAATGCTAATTTTAATATAAGAAAAGGAAATGTGCTGCTAAAAACCCATATGTGTGCGTTTTCAAGTTGACAAAGTAAAACCATGCAAACTGCATATTGTAATTACAATTAACTAACGCAACTTGTGTTATGACTTTTGGAACCCACCAATCACTATCAATCTCCAATCCCAAATTAAAACCCCATAAGACAAAATAGAAATAAAGTTAATTTGGAAATTGCCAAGAACCAAGTCTTAAGAAAAGTCATCAAAGCCGCGTGCCGTGTCATCTCCGCGCCCATTAAAATAACACGCAGCCAACCTCCGTACGCGCACAATCCCCCTAGTAAATCCTTTCTCAGTCTTCGCCTTTTCAAACACTTCCCTTTTCAATTAGTTCCCACCCATGTAACCTCTCTCTGTCTCTCTCTCTCTCTCTCTCTATATATATATATATATATACTTGTACTCTCACCCAATTCATTTCCATTAAATTCCTATCTTCTTCTCTATCCGTTTTCTATTGGTTTGTAACTTTCTCTGGTTGTCTTTCAATTGAGTTTCTCTCTCTGGGATTTCATCAAACACATGGCGGACAAACAACCCGGCTTGAACGGTGCATACTACGGCCCCCCAATCCCACCTCCCAAAACCTATCACAGTCATGGCCGTGGCTCAGGATGCGGGTGCGGATGCTGCTGTCTCTTCACCCTTCTTATCAAAATCGTTGTTTCTATAGTTTTTCTCCTCGGCCTGGCCGCGCTCATCGTCTGGCTCATCTTCCGACCCATTAACAAGGTAAAGTTCCACGTCACGGACGTGTCATTAACCCAGTTCAACCTCACTAACTCCAACACCATCCACTACGACCTCGCTCTCAACATCAGCGTTCGAAACCCCAACAAGAAGATAGCCGTCCACTATGATCGCATCGAGGCCAGGGCTTTCTACGAGGACGCGAGGCTCAAGGTCGTATCCTTGACACCCTTTTTCCAGGGTCACAAGAATACCACCGTACTGACTCCGGTCTTTAAAGGGCAGCAAGCCGTCTTTTTCGACGCTGAGAAATTACAGGAGTTTAACCAGGAAACAAACGCTGGGGTTTTCAGCATCGACGTGAACTTGCATCTAAGAGTCAGGCTGAGGCTGGGAAAGATCAGGATTGGCACGTTTAAACCCAGGGTAAAGTGTGACTTGAAGGTTCCTGCGAGCTCCTCTAATGGCGTCTTTCGCACAACCAGGTGCGACGTTGATTTCTGGTGATTGTCGCACCCGGCCTCTTTGACCGAATCCGTTGATTTCCTTTTTCTCATCATATTTTCATCTTTCGAATTTATTTATTATTCTTTTTTTTTTTTGTTTTTTAAATTTTAGTATTTACGTCGTCGTTTTTGATTTTTACCCGCGAGATATGTACGCTCTTCTCGTATATATACCTGATTTTATATATATATTTCTTTCTTTGTATTTATTTATATTACTTTCGATGTGAATAAATAATTATTGTTTTTGTTTTCCCCCTTTATAAACTCATTTTTCCAATTGCTGTAGAATTGATGGAAAGATAATTTAAATGAATCGGTCACGGTGGATAATTAAAAAATTATAACATAAAGATGATAATTAAATAATGTTGGAAGGTGTCGTAATCGTTTTAATTATGATAATTAATTACCATTAATGTGACCGCTCCATGTTTTTGACCGAGTAATAACATAAATACTTACTTGATCAAGGCCAAGCCAACAATTGAAAGTGAGACGTTACACTGGGGTTTCTTGACCCCCGAATTGTCGTCTTTGAAACTAGTACGATAAAAATTCTGTCTACTTAAATAACGTGTGTACACACACATACAAATGCCACTAAATATATGTAATTACAAATGGAACGTTACCCATCTAAAAAAAATCAAATTAGCACCTCTAATTACGTATTTGTTACAGTTTAATTTCAAATATCTTAATATTAAATTTTCATATCAAAGATTTATAGTTCGATTTTTTTTTTTAAATAAGGTCTTTGTTATATTCTTGCTTCGTTTGATTTAGCCATAGTTATAAATTGATTTATTTAACTTTAAATTTGCGCATGTTTTTGTTTAAAATAGAGTTTTAAAATTATTATTTCTTCAAACAAATAATAAATTTATATAAAGTGATAAAACTTGAATTATATAACAATAAGATGTTCAAAAAAAAAAAACACTGAAAATTAGACTCCAAACTAAATAAGTTTAAAAAAATCAGTACGACGATAATTTTTAAAGCGCTAGGACACCCGGGTTCGGATGGCATTTTAGGTCGAGCTAACTTAATCCGACTATCAAATCTGTTAGAAAGAAGAAGTCCGTGTTGGATTAAGAACAGGTTTTGATTTACATTTCATAGAGACAAGTCAGGATTTGAATTTCATAAATGTCATGGGGTTTGGAATTATAGTTAATGCTCACTTCGGATTCGTGAATTGGGCCTGGGCTAGAGCCCATAACCAGACCCACATAACCCCTCGTATCCACCGGCTTTAAATTAAAATATTTATATTACATCATTTTTAATTTAATTAAAATAATAATGTTTATACTTAAAACTACAACGAAAATTTACCCCAGTAATTTTTTTTTTTTAACTTTTCGAATTCCAAAAGATCTGCCAGACCAACGGCCGGTGGAGTGCCAAAAAAATTAACCCACAGCCATAAAATTTGTTGGCAGAGAGGTGTAAATGTTTCACCTGCACAAACTCCTTTTAGTTAAACTACTTTTAATGCAATCAGTCTAACTTATCTGTCCTCTTGCCTCAAGTGGACCCAGGTTATGACGTGGCACAATCGTAACGGTTTTCTTACAAGCAAGTGAAATTAAAAAAAAAAAAGAATAAATAAATAAATAAATAGAGAGAGATTAATGTACTAAAACGATAAAGTTAAACGTCTCCAAATTAAAATGATTAGTCTAATTTAATTAGTCAAAGCAAAAAAACATAATTAATTATAAACATTAATTGACAAACTACGCATCAAAGAGACGACTGATGTCTCCGCACTCCGATTTTTTTCCGGCCAATGGTTTCAAGGACCTTCGGGTTTCAAACAAAAAGCAAACTCTTCGGCTGTCTCCATGCTTCCAGCCGTCTCAAGTGAATTTACGTCATTTTCCGGCGAGAGCGGAAGGGTCGCATCACGGCCAGGAGAAGGCGAGGGAGTGTAGTACGGAGGGGAAGCGCAGGGCGTGGAGAACGGGGTTAGATTGAAAACCATTTTCTCATCATCATTAACGTCGATCGCCACTGCCTCGATCTCTTGATTATCTGCCGTCAAAACTCCGTCGCTCTCGACACCATCTCCGGCGAAACATTCCTCCAGAGAGACCCTTTTGGTCCTTTGACGATCAGCCCCTGCGGATGGGTGGTTAGGTGTATCACCTCCATGTAGCTCTCTCTCCTCTTCCTCCTTAATCGTGAACAGGAACCTGGCGTGTCCGTAAAGCACGGCTTGCTTCCATTTGGCGTCGAGGTCCTCCTCACTCTCCGGTTGGCGAGACTGGGTCGCCGGGGAAGATACGGGAAGGGCAGGAGAAGGAGCACCGGCAGGTTCAATCCGGGACTGGTTTTTCCAGCAGAAGAAGTAGAGTAGCTCCTTCGACAGCGGCGTAGAGTGAAGCTGGTTGCCACTCAACACGTCTATATTCCCACTGTCAAGGGCCCGTCGACGGAATCTCCGCCGTCTCCACAGAGCATAAGTGAGCTCAGCAAGTATAGCCACTAAAGCGACGGCAAACACGACAATCAACCCAGTGCCGATCTTGCTTAAGCCTTTCATGGCGGATGATAATAATAATGAACGAAATAATAACGAGCAACTAATGGATATACTTAGCTTTTCCTTTTCTTTTTTTTTGTTATGAGTAGTGACTTATAACGGATGGTTTACCGGCAGGTGACCTGGAAGAAGAGGGAAAAAAGGGCGACGGGGCGACTGGCGTAGGAGGTTGCCGGTTGTTGGAAAAGTGTTTTTTCTTGGGAAATAAAACACTGAGGTTTTTCTTCGAAACTTGGGTTGCTAGAGGCGTTAGCCAAGACAGTTAGTGATGACATGGACATGAAGAGCAACGCTGACGTGGAATTTTATTTTTCATTTTCATAATTTCTATTAAATTTTGAATTAATAAGGCGGGTGAGAAGTCGTTTTCTAATTCTTATACCAATTTGTAGATGATTGTCATTACAAAAACGAACATTGGCTATTTATTATTCATTATAAATTTATTAAATTTAAACCCGAATCCATGCTAATCCGTCTCTCTTTTTGTCATCAATTTAAGTCGGATTTGCTTCGAATTCACATTTTAATAAAAAAATTTTCGTTCTAAATTCAATTTAGATAGATTAAACTAAACAGATTTAGATTTAAAATATCATCTTTTAATTGAATATAAATTGAAAAAATAAAAAAATCTGTTAGTTACTTTACGTGGTCTATTCATTTCTTCTTTATCCTTATCCGCTTCTTATTTATACCGTGACTTAAAATTTTTTTTAAAAAAATCTATTAAAAAAGAAAGTTTGTGGTTATAAATTTAACTAAATAGTTAGAGAGAGTGAGATCACAATTTAAAATTATATTAAAGTATAAATCTTAACAATTTTTATTTTACAAATATAAACAAATGTAAGTATACATTTATTTATTAACCAACATGAAACAAAAACACAAATTTCATATAAAATTTATTTTTCATCTAAAAAAATTTAAAGTGATTTATATATCCATCAAACCGAGATTGGACCGAAACGTGGCCCATTAGGTATTAAGTATTGGGCCTAATCAAACATTGGGTAATCAATTTGGCCCATTAGGTGCAATTTTGGACTTTTCATGGTAATCAATTTGAGTGGACCTACTGGATGTGGAGGTCAACATGAGTCCACAAATTTGATCCAAATGTTTTAGTAAAGGAAAATTCAAATAATTTTTTTAAAAAATTTAATAATATGGTATTAAAATTGATTTAATGACATTCTTATGTCGCATTTAATTATATCATTTAATTCATGTATCTTAGTTGATATACGGAAAATTAATTCGAGGGATTTAATATCTAATTTCCACCCACCATTCACAAATAGGTAGTGGATAGAGGGTACCAATTTGCTATCACAAAACATACATACATACATACATACATACACCCATATAGACGAGTCCTTTGATTTCTCTTGGAAGCGTGTGTGCGATCCTCTCTTTTTGACCAAGATTCTAAAATTATAAATCCACTTCTCTCAATTCCCCATAACTCAAGCACATCGATTTTGTATGTATAGACTCTCTCCTTGGATCCCTAACTCATCACTTTGAAATCATCATATACCCATAAAAAGAAAAAGGAGAAGACACCCACCAAAAGAATGAGAATTTGAAAGATAATATGTTATATCAAGAATATATAAGTTCAAATGTTTACGTTATACATAACCCATTTAGTAATATTCCAAGTAGAGAATGATGGTCATACATATAGGTACAAAAATTTGGAATATTATTGTGTAGATATGGTGAAAGTGTGGGACTTTATGAATAGGATCCTGGATTTCCCTTACTTTCATGCAAGAGAATTTAATTGACGTTATGAGAGAAAGTAGAAATGGAAAAAAAGAAAAGAAAAGAAAAGAAAAGAATGGGAGAGTGACCTTATAGAAAAGGGTAAGCTCTCCTTTTCTTAAAGACTGCAAAAGAGAGAGAGTTAATTAAGGTGTGTGGAAACTTTGTCTCCATTCTTATACTGTCTTTTTTAAGATGCCAACAACAATCTAATCCAATCTTCCTTTTTTGGTGGGTCTTGTTTCTTCACAATTTTGAACTTTTGTATTTTTTCTGAAATCAAAGCAAACTCCAATCCCTATATAGTTTTCAATCTTGTCTACCTCCAAAACAAACCCAACAATGCATATACATATACATAAATATATTCATATATGTAAATGTATATGTAGAGAATTCATGAGAGCCTAAAAAGAATACCATAGTTTTCTCATCACGCTGAAAGATTCCGTTCGTCTGCTTTTCTTGCCCTTCACTCTGTCTTATGCTTACCCACATGGAGTTGCTGCTACCTGGCTAGTACTATGTACATATATGTATGTATATATATATATATATATATATATACTTATCCAAGGCAATCAACAAAAATGCAGTGAAGTTTATAAACAGCTTGTATTTTGGGTAGTGAAAATCACGGTGATAAAATTAGGGTTTGGATGATAATTATATTATGACTTAAGTTAAATAAATGGTAATTAATCACGAGAAATATAATTAATGCTTGTGGATATATATGATCCAACTTAGAAAGAATTGTAGCAGTAGAGATATATGTATATATGCTAGGCCCAATAATCTAAAGAAGAAAAAGTAGATAAAAGGCAGACGAGACGCATACATATATCTATCTATATGATCATGGGATATATATGATTAGAGTTGCAAAAAGTTCATTGAGCATTAAAAAATGGTGGTTATAGAGAAAAGGTTTCCAAAGTAGAGAAAAGCAAATGGCTGTTAAAAAGATAAAGAGAGATACATACATATATATATATATATATATATATATATATATATATATATATAAGAATAAAAGGCATACAACATAGTTGTTGTCTTAAATGAGTAACGAGGCTTATGGCTCAAGTTTGGCCACCACGATGCGGGACTCATAATTTTTCAGATTTGTATGTTTAGTTGTGTATTAGTAAGATAGTAATTAAGTTAATTAAAATAATTAATTTTTTTAGATTTATATATTTAATCAAAATTAATGATTTAATTTATTAATTTATTAAGTTAATTAAGATAGTTTCCGTGTGCTCTAAGTATGGCGAGGTGTAAGAATGCAGGCGAAAAGTAGAGAATGGAATTAATGGTGGCAGGTTGTAGATGATGTCAAAGCACTAGTAACAGTGTATGTATATACAGATATACACACAACCAATATTTATTCACAGTGCTTCAAATTATTAGCAGCATAATGCAGAAATAAACTCCCACTAATTTATGTATACTACTGCTTTTCAACTAATCCAATTCACACTGCATTAATTAAATAAAATTTAGTTTTACAGAATCAAAACATACGAAAGTAATTAAAAAAGTGAGATTTAGAAAAAAAAAAAAGAAAGATGAAAGCAGTAAATGAAAAAGAGGGAAGCTTTTGTATTGCTTTAAAAGGGACACCCACTTTCTGCAATTTATACGAAGAACTGCTTTATCTTGCAACTTCCTGCTTTTGAGGGGTTTAATTAATTTATAATTTTATAAAATAAAAGACTTGGATTCCATAACACTCAAATCTCTATCTCTATCTTTATTTTTATAAAAAATCTGATTGGAATAAGTAAATGTTTCCTCAAGAGGGATATCTTTCGCACAATCATAAAAGTAGCACATGATTACAGACATAATCCATCTATTGATCCACAGATTCAATCAAACTAGCATTACATACGTATACACACACACACACACACACACACCCAACATTCCACCATTAGTTCAATCAAATGATTCATACATTTAACCAGTGTATACAATGAAGTTTCTTGTAATGACCACCCTTATATCTGTTTAATCATACCCAATACTGAAACTTAGAGTTTGTTTTTTCCCTTTCAAATGTGAGAAACACACGTTGGTTGTACCATCCAAAGTCTTTGCATTTTGCTCGTAAAGTATATAAAAACAAATACAATCAAACGTACGCACGAGAATTCCAGAACCACCACCGCGTCTTGTGCTAGTAAAGAAATGGGATATACGTAAAGATTAGTCGAGAGAGGAGGGAGAAGAAATGGGAAATTAGTTTATATAAATATGATATAATGTTTCCATCTCATTAAGTAAAAGAAAAGAAAAGCTAGAAAAGGAAGTAGATGGGAGTAAGGAGGCTTCTTCCTTTTTAGGAAATTAATCATATCATACATAAATTAATTAATATCCCAATTTTATTTCAGTTCATAAATTGTTTTTTAAAAGTGGGAAAGAAACGACAAATTCTCTACTTATGCTTATGGGTTTTAATTTAAAGTAATTGGAACAATCTTTTTGTGATTCTAAAGTGGTAATGTCTTTAAGGTTTAAAGAAGAGATGCTTAAATAATTAAATATTTTAATTTAAAAAAAAAAAAGATATGTAACTTTAACTTTTTAATTAATTTGGATTAATGAGTCTGCAACTTTTCAAAGATGAGAATGTTGGGTTGGGAAAATCAAAGGAATTGAAGAAGAAGATGAAGAAGAAGAAGAAGAAGAAGAAGAAGAAGAAGAAGAAGAAGAAAAAAGTTCATTCTTTTACAAAGCATCAAAAGCAGTGCTGCTCTCTCTCTCTTGATATTTCTTAGGGAAGATTTGCTTTTTCCCTTGTCTGAGTATAAAAGTTGCTTCTCCTTTGCACAACACTTACGTTATGGATCATACCTTAATCAAATAAATTTTTCTTCCTACATTTTCCAACATTTTTAATTAATTTACTTATTATAATCAAATCATATATATATATATATATTGTCTATAATTCTCTTAAAGAGAGAAAAAAAAAAAAAAAGTTGAAGGCTTGTGATTAATATGTATGTATGTATGTATATACATTTATCACCTATTGATAAATGGATTCAAGTGATGATTATAATATATAGCTTAATTACTTTGTCTTTAACAGAGATTATACATAGGGCAAAGACTAAAAGCATATTCGTGTATAATTATACAATTAATCAACATTTATTGATTTTAATTTCTTATTAATTTATTATTATTATTTTATGTATATATATATATATATATACATATAATTAATTAAGATCCAACCAAAGTGTACGGATGCTCTTAGCTAGATAGGATACTTTTGGTCATGTGTTAAAGTTTGATCCAACAAAAATTAAGCTAAGCTTACCAAATATTTTGCCCCCTTTAATACATTCATGTTGTATTGTTAATTTGAAGGAACTTACATAACATTTTTGTACTTTATACACTCATTATAGGTTATATCCAATTTTTGTGTCGATTCCTTAATGTTATATATATATATATGTATATACTTCTGAATAAATGCATGTATTTTTTTTTTTTGAAGTAGAAGATGCATGCATTCATCAATTATATGATATGTAAATAATAATTATAATACTACATAAATTATTTTTAAATGAGATCGTATTTTAATTCAAATTTACGATTTTTTATAAAAAAAGAATATATTAACCATTAAATTAGAGAGTAATTAATTTTAATGTTATAATTTTCTCGGTATCATAAGGTAGAACTTGAAAAGTTAAACTATAAGCTATGGGTTTTTTTTTTTGAACATCCGATGAGGTATAAACTATCACTATAGTTTTTTCGGTGCGATATTTCCGCATTTTTCAAATTAAAATTGTATTTGAACAATCAACAATATTTTGATTAGATAAGTGATATATTATTTTTTTTATAAAAGATTATGAGTTCAAATTAAATTATACATATTTATTTAGAATATTTATGTATTTCTATTTTTTTTTTATAAAAATGTATAATTGAATCCATCAAACCTACTTAGGAGAGAATTAAGGTCATGGATGGCAATATACAAGGAAACTGATTCCCACATCGATTCTACCTAATTAATTAAGAACTGGCTCTGCTCAAAATCTATAGAGACGTACGGCTAAATATTGGAAGACAATTTCTTTTTCTTTTTATAGAATAAAAAAAAAATAGAAGAAGAAGAAAGAGTAAAAATAGAAACAAAATTAACAGATACAGATTATCATAACTCTTGAGTTCTGAAAACGATACAACTATCCACAGATTCAAGAAGTCCAATATCGTCAATGGATTCAACATCCTGATCCATACTCTCATCATCAATCGAAATGTTTAGATCAAGCGACAGAGTCTGCTGATCCATTTTCTCTTCTTCCTCGTCTGATTTTTGCTTCACAGGAGGGGAGCAGGCTCTTGATCTCGAGCTAAAGCTTTCACAGCTCAAAATAACAATGGCGTCCCCGAGGCAAACCTCACCGACATTACTGCTGCTTATTCTTCCTCTTTCAATTGCTCTTTTGAAACCAATTTGAGAGCAATAATCCGCTTGCTCAACATCTTCAACCAAGAAAACCCTGTGCGGGTTGCTACTCACTGCTTCTGCAAATCTTTCAATGTAACTGCAACTTTGCTCATCTCTTGACCTCTTGTTTCTGCAGTCTTCAATGGAGTCAGCTCGTGTGGACGAGAAGCTGCTTAGCGCAATCGAAACGATGGCGTTTTGGGACCCGAAAACAAGCCTAGCTAATTCTCTAGCAATCTTTTCCTTACCTTCCGCATCAACACCTTGGAAGAAGAGCCAAGTTTCTTCTTTAGTCTCTCCATGGTTATCTCTTATTTTATTCCCTTTCCTTCTCACCATACCAGACCGGCATCTTAAGATGGTGCTGGCGATTTCAGGAATGACATCTTTCTGCCACGGAACCTTACTCTCCAATGCAGTGCATAAAGTTGTAAGATTCTCAATGTTCGGCTCTTTGAATCTCTGGATATATTCCATCTCCATAACATCACTGGAAGAAGCTGAGTTAGGGTTTGATGAAAATGGGGTTTGGGGATTGTTAGGGTTTTGATAATGATGATGATGATGATCGGTTGTGTATAATCTCAAACTGGGTTCGACAGGCCATTGATGGTTGATGTGGTGTAGATTAAGGGTTTGCTGGTCGTATGAAAAACCAGATGAAGATGATGAGGGCGATACAGAAGGATTAAAGGTTAGGGTTTTTTCAGATGGGTAAGGGGACTTGTGGATGGAATCGCAAATTAAGTTCCACTTTTTGCAAAGGTTCTTGATTTGGACAGTGTCCTGTTACAGAGAGAAAATCAAAACACACGAAAAGAATACAAAACAAAACAAAAAGGTCTGTTCTGAACTCATTATGTGTTACAAAGAACTGAAATCCATGATTCATAACATATATATATATATATATACACACACACACATTATAAATAGACACGTGTGTGTGGGTATATAAATTACTCACTTTTTTTTTTCCTGGAATGATATCAATTTGCAAGTAAGTCTATCATTTTTAAGAATAATAAATTAATATTTTGATCAACTTAAATATTTTTTACTTCTTTATTTAAACAAAAAATATTAATGTTATACATGTGCTATTTCAGTTATCCTATTTTTAATTAAAAAAAATTAAAGTTAAAATTCATACATTTTATATATTTCCATAGTTATATGATATTTGCACATCAAAAATAATATAATCAACTACATACACAGTATATACATATCTACTGGAACAGATAATATCATGTATAGGAGTGAAAATTCTCATGGTTTGTTGTTATTTACATTAAAACTTGTTTGTTCTTTTTCTGGGTTTGCTGCTTTTTATAATTTAATAGAAATTGCGTTCACAGTTCTGTTAAGCACATTATATTCATTCTGCAGGAACTAAATTGATATGCTTGATCCTCAACTCAAAAAATACACACACACACATATATATATATGTTTGAAAAGTAAAGAATCAGCTACGATTATGTACCCATGTCTCAAGCACGTATATGTGTATGTGTATTTTATCCCATATATATCTAAATGTGTGTGTGTGTGTGTGTGAAAAAATATTTAAGACTGAGATAATGAAATTATAACCTTATCTCTGCTGCTGCAAACGGCTTTCTGCTCATCTTTGTATTTTTGGAGCCATGCAGGAAGGTTTGAAGTGGAGTCATCACTGCTTTGCAAACTTCGATCAGCTTCCATCTTGAAGTTGGCTGAGCAATCAGCACAGCAACTCAGCTGCGTCTCCTCCTCTCCAACTCCATTTTCACCTTTCTTCCTGCTGGATTCACTTTGTAGCTCACTGCACAAAATCAAAAAAGTTTTAACACCAAAGTTATTAATTTATTATAAGCCCCACATTTCAGTATATACGTAATACAAGTTGATTTCATGTCCCTTTGAAAGTTCATCAAACGGATAATCAGCTTCAAAATCAAAAGAAAAGATCAAAAGAAACGATTTTTACTCGAGGAAAAAGAAATCTGGTTGAGTTTATCAACTTATTTTAACCAAAAATCTTCATCTTTAATCATCATCTTTCATTTCTTGTTCAATAAAGCACGATTAGCTCACACATTGTTCAAGAACAAAAGTAGACCAAAAGTGAAACTTCATTTTTCTCATTGCCTTTCATATTTATAAATTCATCTAGATCCACAAGCATATATATATACACACATATATAAATATACACTACATCAGATTAACATATGTGCTTTCTCTTTTAAAAAGGTTAAAGAAACCAGTGTTGATTCTTCCTTCAGTCTTTTGAGACGCAAGAAAACTAAAGTAAAAATCAGCCATAGTACTATGTATAGATTATAAGAGTAAAATCACCCTTAAACTGCACCAGGAGACTATTTTAAATTCTTACCTGTCGGTGATGAGACTCAAGCTTAAGCTGCCTACTGGAATTGTAATAGGATGGAGACCCCAAACAGCTTCCAGTGAAGGATATCCAGACTTGCATCTCATATAAGTTTGGAAAGTAGCAATTCCCATGAGCCAAAACCTTCCAGTCTCACCAACGCCACACGCCAATTTACTAAGATCCATGATCATATGCTCCACAGGACTATAATATCCCCTTGCTTCCTCATCAATACCTGAACTACCTCTGTACTCAGTTGCCCATGCAAGATCTCCCAAGTTTAATATTATCTCTCTTCCCAAAAACCCCCTAACAAGGCTCTTTAGCTCCTGCAGCTTCTGCTCAATCTCTGCTCTGCTTAGATGACCCAGAGAAGATAAAGATAAGGTTATAAACTTTACTTCTCTCAGTCCCTCTGGTACATCTCCTTTGTCGAATTTTTCTGCTACTCCTCTAATCACACCTTCAATAGTCGAAAGGCACTCTCCTACAATCACAAAATTTCTCCTCCTTTTGTTCATCAAACTGTTTATAACATGCCTAATGTCCTCGTTTCCGATAGAATCATCTGATGCTTTTGGTTTGCTTAATACTGCTTTTGCTTGAACACTGTTGCTCTCTTTAGTCTTACGACTAGTAACTGAAGGAGCAGTCTGAGAACAAATCTCTAAAGACACGGCTTGCTCAACATTGCTTTTCACTTGAGTGCTGGAGAAACCGGCTTCTCTCATAACTCGACTAACACTAGGATCGTCTAGAATGGAGATTATAAGCTGCTCTAACTCTATTTTCACAGTTAAAAGCGGTTGCTGCTGGTTCTCGATGGAGCCGCGGCGCTGGTGAGCCTGAGCGCGCTTGAAGGCGGCAACCAAGGCGTTAGATATGGAAGGATATTGGGAATGATGAGGAGCCAAGATGGGGGCAGATGTTGAGGCGGGAAGACGGTTGAGTGCAACATTGAAGCAGAGCTCTAGGGCTTTACACTGGAGCGGATGAGAATGGGATTGGAGACAAGCTGTTCGGAGTAGGCCTGTGGAAGCTGCAAGCATGGTGTTAGCCACATGGAGCGGAGTGACTTGCGCATGGCCTCGCCGTCTAGCAAGAGTTACAGCTTGTTTGACGACGCTTGCAGCTTCTGGGGTTAGAGCTTGTTGCACTGTGCAACCTCCTGCTCTCATCTTGCTTGCACTTCACAAAACCAGTACTAATATATATAAACTGGAGCTGCTGTGGGAGGATCGATATGGATGCAACATATATAGAGATCAAAAGGGAAGATGTAAAATAGAATTTAGGTTCATGGGTGGTGCTGGGAATGGAGGAAAGAAGCAGTCTTTACATATGGGTTTGGATTGGGGAATTGAATGAGTATATGCAGGAATGAAGTTGGTGAGGAAGATAGAGATATAAGGAGAGATAGGGGGTATGCTTTTCTTGTAGGTGAGGTAAAAATTGGGGTCCAAAGTCGATTTTGTAGTGGAAAGTGGAATGCATGTGCTGACAAGCAGGACGAATGCAGCAGTATCAAAGGCAACTCAGCTTTGCTCTTTCTCTCTTTCTCTCTCTCTCCCTCAATTTTGATAAAAGATATATATGCAGTATGCTGCTCTCCTAAGTGGGCCTCTCTCTTTTATGCAAAGTATTATATATATATATATATATATATCATTAATATTATCATATGACGATATTAACACATATTAACACCTCTCTCTCCTTTTCCTCTCTAGAGAAATTAGACAATTGCAAGATTCAAATAAAATCAGCTGTTAGTGAGATAATTTAGACCCTTAATTGGGTAATCAGATTGAAAATGTGATGAAGATTTAATTTTTGGAAGATGTTGATTAAATGGAGGAGGGAGGAAAGGTGTTTTTCATTAGATCGAGGAGTTGAAAATGTTTTGAAAGGAATTGGGAAGTGTGTAGGGATTTTGCTTGGCTGAGGTTCCGGACTCAGACAAGGAATAAAGTGGAATTGGCTTTCTATTTACTTATTTTACGACCATATCATCATCTACTTGACGCTCTTCGCCATTTCTTTGCATGGATATAAATATATATATATATATATATATACACACACATAAATTTATATATATATATATATATTAACAACTCAAACATCAAAACATTCTCCATCTCTCCCTCTCTCTCTCTTCATTATTTCATAAAGTTGGAGCTTTTTCCACCTTCTCTTTTTATTTTATTCCCAAAAAGAAAAAAAAAAAAAACATCAAATGACCCAACTAATAAACATGTATACATACAATGATAACGAACTCCCAGAATCATTGGCGATTGTTTGGTGGGTTTGGTTCCTTTCTTATTTATGTGTACTATCCTTGTGTCTAGTGACACTTTTATATAATATATATATATATATATGTATATATAAATCTAAAGAATAAAACTTTCTTGAGTCAGTTTTTGCATAATAAAATTCTTATTTTATTATGTTAATATTACAAAATTTTATAAAGAAAATATCTTCACTCTCACTTCAAGATTAGAATTCTTGCCGTAGTATTAGCTCCAAACAAATTTGCCATATCATTAGCTCAAAAGGGAATGTCATTATGATAGTTTTATTATTATTATTATTTTTTTTACCATTTAGAAAGTACATATTATATTACGTATGTATGTATATACGTAATTTAGAGTTTCTACATATATATATATATATATATATACATTCAGGAAAATATAATGAATATTCAGGAAAATATCATAATGGTTATACTGGTGTCATTCCTCTCAGCATGCGATTGCATAGAAAGATGAGCAAAGATACCACCACATATATATTCTAAGTTTTCTAGGAGTTTACAAAATAAACTAATCAAAACATAATTTCCTTACACAACTCACGAGAGATCTCCCTTTCATTCCTCAATCATCTTCCACTTTTACTTGTGTTTTTATGCAAACAACTCTTTCAAAATCAATCTTTACCTGTAAATTAATTCTGCCATTATTTTCAGTCTATGAAAGAAATTAAAGTAATTAATTATTTCTTTTATACCCAACAAAAATATATATAACAATGAAAAGAATGTCCAAGGATGAAGAGATCAGAGAATAATCCCACAATCATTGAAGAAAGCCAGTGATGGGAAATTGATACAACTAATCAATGACCAGAAGACAGTGATTAAAAGCTGATTTTATATATATATATATATATATATATATAAACACAGTATACCCATCTATATCCAAACACCCACTTAAAAGCAATATATGAAGATGGATATATCTATATGCGTGTCTCTATTCATGTTTAATAATAATAACCCAAGATCCAAAACTAACAATTTCATATGAGATGACTGCATGAAATGACATGATTAAAGCTTCGTGATATATGGTGCTTGGGAATGTTTCAGAGTCTTATTGCCTTAGTTGATGTAGGAATGTAGGCCTTTGTTTCTTTTTACAGTGTCCTCTAATGTTTTTGAGGGCCACCATGCCTGCATTTTCAATTCTTTGAAGCCAATGTCCTGTCTAGTCCTTCTCTTTCTCTTCTCTTCCATCGACTAATGGTTATGATAAACTAAGACTGTTTCAAATAAATTCAAAACTGTCTTTTCCCTAAATTCACAATTAATCAACTAGAAAAAAAATCATACGAGTAGGACAGTGCTAGCTAGAGTTGAGAGTTGTATGCATAAGTGGATCAATAATAAAATATATATATATATATATATATACTGGAGCAAATTGTAGATGGTAGGACCCAAACAGAGAATAGCAAAATATACAAAATCTTGGACCGTTTATTCTTTTTTTTTTTTCTCATCAGTGAGCATCATGGTCAGTAGTCCCCAGTCAAAAAGCTAGTTTGTATCTTTGTTAGCCTAAAAAGACATACAAAGGGAACCCAAATTATTTGAATGCAAAGCATTTTCTGAAATGCTAGAAAAGGAGTGTTTGAATGAAAGCCAGAGCCAGATAGGAATATATACAGTTACTTACAATACACCCTAACTTCTCTTCTCTCTCAGACACTTTATTCAGATAAGCATGTAACTGTTACAAAAGCCACTGGTTAACTGTTACTAAATATGTATTTGGACACTAAAAGATTTGTATAATCAAAATGAAAGTTGGAGGGGATAGCTTTTCTCTTCTTTCGCTATCAAATCCATTAGTTTTTCATGGGAACATATTATATTAGAGCCACCTATAGCTCAGCTACCCATATATGTAAAATATATATATAGATACATATATAATTTTCTTCTTCTTTAGCTTAAAGTAAAGGTACTCTCCTCATAAAGCAACATTAAAAGTAAAATATGGCATTATCTACTCAAAAGGGCCGCTCATTTTATGCTTTTAAGCTTCAAATAAGCATCTTTTGCTCTCTACGTGGCCATGTGGGTGAAAGCAATAACCAGGAGAGGGAACAAAAACTTGGCAGAGAACGAGAGAGAGAGAGAGAGAGAGAGATTAAGGGAGAGGGGAAAAAGTTAATAGATATATAAATATATAGACATAGATATATATATAGCATATATATGTGTGGGCGGCCAGAGACTTTAAACTTTAAAGGGTTTATAAGGGAGAAAAAGTTGCTCTAATTTTGACATGACAGCCTTGTTATTTGTTAATGTAAAGGTGATGGAATTACGTACCATACACTGCTTTTCTAAAAAGTTTGCATTATTTTATCATTACTATCCACAACACCCTGTTTCTTTTCATCTATTCTTTAACAAAATTTAGATACATCACTAGCGCTTTTTACCTCCTACTAATCTTCTAATTAGGAGCAGTTGAAGAGATCATTTAGAAATACCTTTCCTTTTTTCTTTTTTTTTTTTTCTTTTTTTTTTTTTTTTACTTTCAGTGGGTGTGTGTATATATATATATATAACAATTATGAGGACTCGTGTTTTCATTATTATGGTTTAGTCTTCAGGGGGGGGATGGCTGATCTCATCATGCTTCAAAGAGAATACAAGTTCATGCACAAATTGGAAAGTGCTGTCTATAAAAAAGGTGATCTAGTTGGTAAGGACAAGATAGTTGGTAAAGAGAGGTCTTCCATGTCCTGATTAATTGTATTTGATTATTAATGGGTTTGATCCTTATAATTAGTACCCTAGAGTAAACATCTTGAGGGTACCGCTCAAACTTAATTCTAGTGCATGAAACTTTTTCTAATCCTAGAATTCATACTAGATAAATCAGAGTAGCATATATCACAAATTGGAGAGTCCGGATAGAGTGGCAATCAAACTGTAATACCCTTCTAAGATTTCATCTATTTTTACCACAATTTCTTGAATGAGATCTTCAGTCTGTTCATCTTTAATAAATGGGTTGATGATTGATTATATAAATTGTAAAAAGGAAAGTAAAGTGTGAAGTGAAGGAGAGTAGAATGCTCAGATGGGGAGAAAGCTAAGTGGGGTCACAACAGTAGCACACGCTTACAAGACTCAACAGAGAAAAAAAAAGCTGCAGGTATACCCTCTGTAAATTTAACACAACCACACAAACTGCAGAAAGTGGAAGAACACAGAGCCAATAGATATACGGATTGGAGAAGAGATCGAGGAGAGAGGCGTTATTATTATTATTTTTTGGCTAGCTACAAGAAACCCCACTTCTCATTCTTCTCACTAAGAGAAGACAAACAAGGATTCCTTGCGTCTTACTCGTATCTCCTTCACTCCGTGGCTATCTTATGATTTCTGTAAAGGCTATTCATATACAACTTCTCTCTCTCTCTCTCTCTACCCTATATATATATATGTATATTATATATATTGCTTCCTTGGAATGACCTCGTTTTTTGAAACGTTTTCCTTCTTTTTCATCTTTTACAGCATAGATTATTATGGAGACGTTGGCAATAATGTTTCCCTCTCTTCTTATTTGTAAAACGTAGATAGATATTCTTATCAGCTTCTCATTAATTAGCTTAGTAATTGCTTATGTTGTATGAAGAAGTTAAAATAGGTGCTACCTATGTATGCTCGAGTCATAAATTACAAATTTTTCTTTCATTTTACAATTTAAGATTTTTTGAAGTTTATTCTTCTTTGAACTGTTATGGCTTGTTCCTACAGCAGTTCAAACTCCGAATTTGTTTTTTTCGAGAATATCTGCAAGTATCTAAGCTTCTAAATCCTAAAAAAAACAAAAGTTGGCTAAATAAATTAAAATTATGTATACCAACAACAAATTACACAACAAAAGCCTAGTAAACTAATTATTTGTGTGACATCACCTAAAAAATGACAAATTCTGAATTAGAATAAAGGTCAAGCCACCAATTCATTCAATTTGATATACACATTTTTTCCTCCTATCTCTTTAACTCATCAACATTCTAGTTGTGCATGAGAAAGGCAAAATAAATATAAAAGCAGGAGAAACAAAAGCAAACAGAACTAAGAGAAAAAAAATATCTAATAGGCTAATACTCATGAATAAACAAACTTCTGCCTGAAAATTCAAATGATGGATAAATGGCATTTTCATGTTCAAGGATCATAGAACTATTACATGCCGATCAAAAAAGAATAATACAAGAAGTCCTCGATACAAGAATAATACAAGAACCTATTATATACTTCCTATCTCTTGTACTATTTTTACCATATAAAATTGTAATTGGAACTAATAAACAAAAAAATATTGCAACCAAAGAAAACTAGTAGTTTACTCAAGCAAAGCTACAGCTCAATTTTCTCAATTTCCAAGTTCACTTACCTTGACTATCGGCAAAGGTTTCAAGAAAATTACTTTGAAGTAGCGGAGCAAGTATGCTCTCAATAAAGGATCTGTGCTTCCGTGTTTCCTCAAGTATCAACAAATGAGCAGCCTCGCAAGCTTTTGTGCTGGGAAAACCTAATGTCCATCTCCCATCTGCAGCAGGATGGGCAGTCTTTGTGGAATACCCTCTATTCTTATTTGGATTGAATCTTGGGTCAAATTCTCTTATTCGAAGATGCAACCATGTCGGATGATCCCCATCTATATTTGGCTGTGTTAAACAAAGAGAGAAACAATTAGATAATTAATTGTATCTAGAGATAGACAGGAGACTCCAAGAATGTGCTGTTACGTCACGCCTGTTCTGGGCATTTTGATGTTTTTTTTTCTTTTTAACACTTTAAAGGACACTTCAAATTGTGTAACTGTCTTTGAAGAGAAGACCCTGATGACTAGTAGTTAAAATCTTACGCTCAAACCAGCCAAAGGAGCAATAGCAATCACAACTCCTCGGTGACTACGGAATGGATGTTTCTCAGCAAGGATTAATCTACCAGATACTCCACTAGCCACTGGTATAAAGTACAGATCCCTGCTCCTTTCATTCGAAAAAGCAATTTTGCAAGGAATTCCAGATCCTGCAAAAATTGACAAAGTCCAGAGCTAACAAACAAATAATCTTGAGAATTGCGTTTGATCAACAAAAATCTGGTTCAGATGATACATAACCTAAAGAAACATCTGACCCAAAGCTTGCACATAAAAGGTTTGAAACATAAGTTCTTCCAGGTTCAGTTTTTGGGGAGTTCATCAGCTTCAAAAAAGATTCTTCAAGCAAATTTCCTTTTAAAATAACTGCCTTGAGCTGAAGATGGAGGATGAAAACCTAGAGATTATGCACATAATGAGATCTTCAAAATGGATCCATTTAATGTTTGTAATGGAAACTAAAGCTATGCATTAAAGGTATCACAATAATATAGAATCGCAAAAGAAAATCAAATTCTCTTCTCCTTTGACATCAATCCATTTGAAAGAATTAGAATAAGAATTCTCAACATTTATGCCCCAAAGGCACTTTTATTTATACAAACTCTCGGCAGCAAGGCCTTTTCACATGGATGTCCAAGGACTAAGGCTTTTTGTTTTTTTAGGAACAGAAAAATTGTGAACTGTCTAATGTCTTAATTTTCTCTAAAAATCAGTTTCCCACTAAAGTAGAGATTCTAAATTTCACTAGATTTTAGCATGTTGGAGTGACCTAGCTAACTAGTTACAAATAGTACCTTTGGGAAAAAAAAACCTAGCTAGAACAGTAACACTGAAATAATAATTAGGAACTGCAAATCCTGAAAGTGA